CTCATGTCTTACTCTGCCCTGGGTTTATTTCGACAAGTTCACATTTGCTAATGAAGCTACTTCCTAGAGGCAGTACACAATCTAAAGTAACCAAAATAAACTAGTAATTATGCTTTCATATCCCATTTACAGTTTGTTTATGTGATGTGTGTCCAGTAAGTTTTAAAGTGCTATGGATGCTGTGTTAGGAATTAAAGAACATATTATTTTAAAATGCAGTCTTTCTGTATGCAGTATCTGCACTGGTGGCTTTCTTTGTTGCATGTTGGCAGTTGTGTTTGTTTTATGTTGCAGTTGCTCGTACTCCTCCACCTGTTCCATTCCCCGCTCCACTAGAAGATGGTAAGTCATTACACCACATCTTTTTGCTGCGCACACTGTGTGGTTTCCCCTGCAATTCTCTGCATGTTATGTAAATTTAGTGAAATAAATGCACGTGTTTGAGAAATGTATTTCAGAGATGTACTGCTTGTTGCCTAGGAAATAATCATATTTACTTCTACTATTATTCCCACTATTTTATGCAATGTTTATCTAGCCACTGCCTAGCAAGTGATCACATTCGTCACAGTATTTTTTTCGCACATTTATTATACATAATCTGCAGGAACTGCAATAAATGTATATGTTAAATAAGTACTGGCTCGTGAGTGAGTTATGCCCACCGGCATAACTCGTATACTTTTTCTTGTGTTCACTTAGGTATCATTTTAATTCTTGTATTCCTCTAGCAGGTTACCAGGATTTGGGATCATTTTGATGTGCTCAACTTTCCATGGATCTGGGAAATATCCCTTGTGTTGCATGTAGCTGTTAGAAGGACAGTGCCTTTCCTTGTCATTTCTTTCAATAGTCTTCCTGTAATTTGGTCATATCCAGGAGCTTTCCTTAGGTTGAGATCTTGTATTATGTTTTAAATTTCCTTTGGTATAAGGAATTTGATTGATTGTATTATTTGTAATGGTTCCTTCAGCGCTTTGTTGATTTCTGTTACGAGGTCTTCTTTTTGTGGCAGTTCATTTGGTTTCAGTGGCTTTTCTGAGTGTTCGCTTTTTCTCTATCACTTTCGGCCCGCATCTCATCCGCATTTCTGATTGGTGAGATGCATTATGTCATTTGTTTTAATGGTTTGGTTGCATTCTAGAGTGAGTATTCGGTGTCAGCTGTCGGTGGTAAGCTTTAAAGGTGTGTTTGAAACGTTTCTTCTTTAATCTTTTTTATTGGTATTTTAATTTTCTAGCCGCTTTGTTGTATCTGCATTTATCTTCAGGATGCCTACTCGTCTGCCATCTTCTTGTGAGTTTTCATATTCCCTTAATTTGGTCCTTGACTTCCCATGGGTATGCCGGATATTTAGTTTGAGGTTTGTCATCTGGTGTTGCACTCCAAGCTGCTTTTTGTATTACATTAGTGAATTCTGCAATATCCTCTTCAGTGTCTTTCTCTGTTTTGAGTTGGATGTTGAGTCATAAATTTTCTTCGATTTGAGCTCTGAATGCTTCCCAATTTGTTTGGTTGGTGTGCAGTTTTGGTGGTTTTTCGTGAGTTATGTGTACTGATAGTGATGATTATTGGTGCGTGATGTGATATTATCTCCAAATTGGGTCTTGTGACTAAGGAGTTATGCTATAGCCCTTTAAAGATAAATAAGAGTAGTAGATGTAGAGTTTTGTTGATATCTTTTGGCCAGTAAGTTGGTTCGCCCATAGATAGTATTACTAGTCACTTCTTTTATATGGTTTGGGATAGTTCGTGACCTTTCGAGCTGATTTAGCTCGAACCCCACTATTGGTGGTTCGCATTTAAATCACCTCTAACCAGAAATCTGTGTCCTAGTGAGTTAATGAAGGCGCTGTGTTGCTCCTTTTTAATTATGTTGCGTGCGGGGCAATATATGGCTGAAATGGTCAAATTTCCATTTCAGTCTTTGATGCTTATATTCGTTGCCTGGATGTGGTCCATTTCATATTTGGCAAGTTAGTGATGTTTTGTCTTTTCTTATGATTGTGGCTTATTAGTTTGGGATATTTACATAATTTTGTTCCATAAAAATTGGTTTCAGACACCAAGAGGTTTTGATTTTCTGGGTGTTAAAAAATACCTCTTTTACATGTTAGGTCAGCATTTGCATGCCATACCGCTATGTTGTATACATGAAATATTTTACTACTTTGTTAAGTACGGTGGTGAGATTCGTGAGCATGCTCATTTGTTCTGCTTGTGTGGACAAGATTGTTTCGAACCTTGTGAAGGACTCTTGTATTATTTTAATAAATGTATGTTCTTATATGTTGTTTGCTGTGTTGATTTTTCAGTACTATTTCTGGTTACTTGGGCATATGTCATTTTTGGTCGTCCTGAAGTTTTCTGTGGTGCTGCAGGGCCTTCCTTCTCTTATCCCGGTGTATTTGTAATATGATACTTGTTAGATTTGAGGCTTTCGCAGCAGTGACTATGAAGAAAGCAGTCTTCTGGGATTTGGCACCGTGTATATGTGGTGTTAACCGACGTTTCCGAGGAAAGTATCGCCTCCATCTTCAGGGTAGAAGAAAAAATATATAAGAAATCTGCAAGCGAAGAGACCGTGAGAACCGGTAAAAGCAGATATTTTTTCTTCTACCCTGAAGATGGAGGCGATACGTTCCTCCGAAACGTCGGTTAACACCACATATACACGGTGCCAAATCCCAGAAGACTGCTTTCTTCATGATACTTGTTGTTTGGGGCAAAAAAGAATCTTGTGCTTCTGATTTCTTGGTAGACCTTGCAGCCTCTGTAGCTAGCCGGATGCGATTCCCCACATTGTATGTATGTTGCTGATTGTGTCTTTGGTAGTTCAGTGCTATTTGATTTGCAACATTTCACACATCTTGGTCTGTGTGCACGGTACCCCATGGTGTGGAAGTACGCTTGACATCACATGCATTGTGGTATATTATTTTGCTTTTGAAGAGGTGGCTTAGTTTGGGCTCTCATATTTTGTAGATATTCTGTGTGGTATATTTCCCTGTTGTTGGCTGCTGGTTCGATATCTAGGAAGAAGAGGTGACAAGGTGTTGCCAGTGACTCTGTACATGATGTTCCATGAGTTTCTAATTTTGTGCTCCATTCATCAGGTATCTTCTCTCACCAATTCCTGCTGCAGTGAATGGTGTAGATATCTGATTACCACTGTACGCACGTTATTGCAGAGGTGGCTGTATATGGGATTCAATTTTTTTCTCTTTTAGTATGTCTGTTATTGTTTTGTGCTATTTTGATTTTTTTTTATCTTTATTGTGTCATCGTTGATTATCTTAAAAGTATAGTTTAATCTGTTAAATACCTGATCAATTGCAGATGTTAGCTGCTGCATGTTTTCACAAGTACACCTTCCATCATCTGTTAACAAGCTACCCAAATATTTAAAACATTTCACATTCTCCACCTTCCAGTTTCGATTAGTCTGTCAATCATACCCTGTAGCACAGTTTCTTCCTTAGCCATTAACACAAGGTCAGCTGCATATTTCACAGTTTGAATAATTTGCCCTCCTAATATGAAGTCTCCAAGCCCATCCAGAGCTTCCTTGGTACATATTGGGATATTGGGAACATATTGCTGGTGCCTGCATCATTTGGTCATGACCCGTGTTGTATTTGGCTGAAGAATTTGTCTGTCAGTTGGTCACTGTCCTTGTGCCTTGTGTTGTGTTGGTCTGAGCAATGGTCACTCAAGCCAACAGCTCTTATCTTTGTGGATGAAAGTATACGAGGTAGTACCGGGAAGTTCCCGGACTAGGTCAGGAAAGAAATACTGGCATAACTTGATCAATTTTGGCTGCCATCTCCTTCAAAATAGTATTCTTGTGAACGTATACAGCGATCCCATCATTTTTTCCACGCGTCAGAGGCACTGCGGAAGTCATATTCCTTAATGCTGTCGAGTACTGCTTGGATGTCGGACACTGTTGTCCTTTCAGTTTCGTTTTCAATTTGGGAAAGAAAGCGGAATCGCAGGGGGGCTGTGTCAGGCGAGTAGGGAGTATGGGGAACGATAACCATGTTGTTGTTAGTCACAAGCTCTGTGGTTTCCAGGAATGTGTGGTTGGGCTCATCTTGATGAAGGAGCAGTGTGGCAGTGTTCAAATTTTCTGTTAAGATCTCCCGGCTAACTCCATAACTGATCCCATTGATGTCTGCGAGTTAATGAATTGTTGGGCAACAGTCTTCATGGATGAGTTCTCGAATTTTTTTCAACATGTTCTGTCGTTTTGCTAGTGCTTGGTGGCCTTGAACATTCGTCATCTTCAGCTGACTCTCGACCGGCCTTGAAACGTGAATGTCATTCAAAAACTGCTGTCCAGCTTAAAGAATATTCTCCAAAAGCCTCACGAAGCATTTGAAGGGCGTTGGTAGCGGATTTACCGAGCTTCACGCAAAACTTGATGCAGACATCTTGCTCCACTTTGCCATCCATCGCAGACAAATCGAAACACGAAGTGTTCAAATTTTCTGTTAAGATCTCCCAGCTATCTCCATAACTGATCCCATTGATGTCTGCGAGTTAATGGATTGTTCGGCAACAGTCTTCATGGATGAGTTCTTGAATTTTTTTCAACATGTTCTGTCATTTTGCTAGTGCTTGGTCGCACTGAACGTTCACCATCTTCAACTGACATTTTGACCAGCCTTGAAGTGTGAATGCCATTCAAGAGCAGCTGTCCAGCTTAAAGAATATTCTCCAAAAGCCTCACGAAGCATTTCAGGAGTTTCGGTAGCGGATTTACCGTGCTTCACACAAAACAAAACACAAAGTCAAAAAAGCATTCGAGTAAAAACAGCATGTGACCACAACGCGGTGTCACATGGCAGTCTGATGCAATAGGATTTCAGAAGTGTGACCTTCACCTCCCCTGTCATCATCTTTCACCGAGGCAGTTGCAGCAATAACTGTCCGGGAACTTTCTGATACACCTCTTATAATATTTCACTGTAGGTCTGTGTTTGGTTAATTTGCAGATCCATCACTGCCCCAGATTTTGCAACCACCACTGTCTGATCCTGAAGGGCCAGTATGTACACACAGTGGAAATGGTGTAGAGTTAATGGAAACTTCATTCCATCAGTTGCCAGCTGGAGTGACAGTGAGAACTCCACCGTCACCACCAACTGAGCCAGCCGTAATGAATGATGAACCATCACTTCAGGCATCCACTTCTCCATGTGCAAAGCGCAGCAATGTACGCAGGCTGAGCATTACCACAGACCCGTCTTCATTTCCAGAAGTGGATTTTCCTGTCAAGTATGTTTTAGTTGTTTTTGTTTTAATTTAAAAAAAAAAACAGTAAGTGTTAAGTGAAAATGGGATATGTGAAAATAATCTATGCATAACTAACTACAAGGTGGTTCAAATTTGACCGGTACTGATTTGTATGTAAACAAGCCGCACTGCGCAGCAGCTGTGCAACCTTCAGAGAGTGAAGCCACAACCTCCACCCTCCCTCCTGTTTGGGTTAGAACCTGTTCAGTCCTGTCTGGGAGTTGCTAGAGTTATGAGTGAACAGAAGGTACCGCGGAGTGTTGAACAACGCATTGTTATCAAATTCCTCAGAGAAAATGTCCTGTCTGCTGAAATTCACCACAGACTCCAACAACAGTATGGGCAAGATTGTCTCACAGACCCATGTGTTTGAGTGGTGTAAGTCCTTCAGAGAGGGCAGAGGGTGCGTGGAGAATGAACCGCATGATCGCAAGCCGCGAACATCCGTCACCAAGCCAAACTTTGATCGTGCAGACGCGCTTATTCCTGAGAATAGGTGCATCACTATCAAGGAACTTGGAGCAATGCTGTCCATTAGTGTTAGTAGTATAGAAGACATGGTGAAATACCACCTGCACTATCGCAAGGTGAATGCATGGTGGGTACCATGCACTTTGACGGACATGAACAAAATAGTGTGCATGCAAGCTGCCAATCGTCTCCTACAGCAGTTTGAAGACGAAGGTGATGCATTTTTGAAGCCTATAGTGACCACAGATGAAACGTGGGTGCACTACTTCATTCCCGAGTCCCAGCAGTCATCACGCGAGTGGCGGCATACCAGTTCTCCCAAACCCAAGAGAGCACAAAGGAGCCATTCGGCAGGAAAAGTGATGGCAACATTCTTCTGGGACTGGCAAGGGGTTATCCATGTAGACTTCCTGACAGATGCCAGAACAGTCAATGCAGCTTATTACTCAGACCTCCTTCAAGACAATGCATGCCCCCATATGGCCAAAACAACAATGGAACCTTCTGAAACATCCGCCGTACAGTCCCGATTTGGCCCCACTTGATTTCTTCCTGTTTGGAAGGCTCAAATCAGACTTGCAAGGCATACGGTTTGTGGACGCCGCCATCATCCAGACTGTTCAGGCATGGATATGCCGCCAACCACAAGCCTTTTTTGAAAAGTGCATCAGGATGCTTCCAGAACGTTGGAAAAAATGTGTTGACTCCAGAGGGGAGTACGTTGAAGACTGACATGTGGAAGTAAGTGTCTGGCAATTATGTTTAAAAAAAAAATGAGTCCCGGTTATATTTGAACCACCTTGTAATTTCATGGAGTTGAACCCATCTTGAGATGACACCAGTTGTGCAGCTACTCAAGAATTTCCCAACATTGTATGGACCCAAAGGTTCATTGTCATGTTCACAAGAAACCTCCACTGATCCATGACCTGAGCCAGATCAATCCAGTCCATACCACCCCATCCTGTCTCTCTAAGATCCATCTTAATATCATCCTGCCACCTACTTGTACGTCTAGATCTTCCTAATAGTCTCTTTTCTTATGGGTTTCCCACCAAAATACTGTATGCATTCCTTCTCACCCCCATTCATGCTGTGCCCATCTCATCCTCTTTGACTAGATTGTACTAATCATACTTGGCAAACAGTACAAGTTAAGAAGCTCCTCATTATACAGTTTTCTGAAATCTCATATCACTTCATCCCTCTTGGGTCCAAATATTCTCAAACACCCTCTCTATGTTAAAGTTTCACAACCGTACAGAAGTACAGGCAAAATTATAGTTTTGTGTATTGTACTTTCTACATATATAGACGGTAGACAAGAAGACAAAGGTTTTAGACTGAATGGTAGCAAGCATTGCCTAGAATCAGTCTCTTCTTAATTTCCTCCTGAATCAGGTTTTGATCTGTTACTGTCATTTCCAAGTATATTAACTGTGCCACATTTTCAAATGGTACTTTTGACTTTTTAACTGACCTACGTATAATCACATAATATTAAAATTGGCAAATCTCATTATTGATTGTGTTGTAACATGATTTCAGACTTAGTAACATGCGTTACAGCCCATCAGAGCCAGCACTAAACCAGCTGGACCTTTCATATGCAAGATCTCTTTCTCTGAGTCGGAACTTGGCAGCTTTGAACCCTGAAACATTCAAATCTGATTGCCATGTGCAGAATTCAACTACAGCCCCAGCATATAGCAAACCAGCAACTGCAAAAACGACAGTGCATAAACCAGTAGCATCACCTTCACTCCCAGTGGAGATCAGTGTTTCTCAAGCCAGGTTAAAAGAGTGTTCATCGAGTCTAGGTGGAGACAGCGATGAGAAAGAAAGGGATGATTTTATACCAGTGATGTCTGACAAATCCTTTGACCTAGATCTGGAAGAATTTCTACCAGTAAGTAATTCAGAATATAATATTTTCACTTAATATAATGCAATTTATGCCAAGGTGTTAGTAACATTAGTTTTTATATGGGGATTCTCAGCTATCTTTAGGTTAAGCCTTTTATTGTTTGTGTGTGCTGTAAGGAATTAAAATTCTAAGTGATGCAAAATGTGAATGAGTTATTTTAAGCGAGAGATGTTGAAAATTCTTGTATTTTACACATATTGAAATTTTTTACTTTGTTCTGTTGGCTACACTGACATGTCATTTACTCATGTCTGTCAGTATATATGGGTTTGATGCTGTGAAACTGCCTTCTTTACTGACAGCACATAAATGCATGAAGGGTGTGTTCACCCATCTTGGTGTTTCATCAAGTTGCATGCATACATTTTCTGTGAAGCTTACACATAGTATATTCACATCTGGTGGAGAAGTTTAGTATCACTATTTACATTATTTAACAAGTTTTGGTTTATTTTACTGCAGATTCTGCCAGTGATACAGTCATTACATAGAAAAATGCCTCATGATCTGAATGTGTTCATGGAATTGAAAGTTTGATTAAATTTTATGTATAAAATTTTTAAGGCAGTTTTATATGAAGGCAATTTTTTCTTCACTGTCTTCCTATTTTCTAAGTCAACAATTACTTCTCAGGACCATTTAGCTATAAATATGGACTCATCTAAGTAAGATTGTAGCATGATTATAATGATTGGTGAGGTGAAGTTTCTGTGCTTAACTAATTAAGCACTACACCATGAAGGTGTATGGGGAAGTGGATGTATATGTCCACATTTTGAGTGGTCAGCTTCAATCCCTGGCGAAAGAGCCCCCAGTACCCATTGGATAGGAGGTTGGGTGGAGCCCAGAGCCAGTTTGGAGGACATGGAGAAGAGAAAATTCTTGGCCCTACCAGGACTTGAACTCCAACCCCTCAGTCGTCCAGCCCATAGCTAGTCCCTATACTGACTGTGAAATCCCAGCTACTTTATAATGATTGGTGGTGATGAAAATGTCCTCAAACATCATTGCTATAAGTGAGTTTCAAATACTGTGTTTCCAGTGTTCACTGAGCCTAATAGTTTGCATGCCTGAAACTGTATGGCCATTGGTGTAAAATGAAAACAATTACCGGGCATTATTATCGGGAGCTGCAAGAACAGTAAAAAAGGTACAATATAAATAAAAATTCTGCTACTTTGATTTTGTTTTACTTGACTGATGTTTGATTGTCATGTATGCAGAAGAACTGCTTGAAGACATTAGGCTACCAGCGGACACTTCCTGAGGATGAAGAAGAGTCAATGTCAACTTTGAGGAGAGGACATGACCGTATGATGAAAATTTTGACCAGTCGACAGAGGAACCTGAATATTACTTGTTCCATATGGCGCAATAAAGAGAGAAAGGTAACTGTCAGAACCTTACATTGAATACATATTTCCAACCAACTTGTTATTATATTATAGTTAAGCATCCTGTTGCACTCCATATGCTACATGATACAAACTCTGTCTTCAGTGCAAACCATGTATTATAGGTCTTTCGTTTTGCTCTCCCCTACACACTACGTGTTTCGGCCACAAATGGCCATCATCAGGCGTATTACTCACATATCTGTCACAATGCACTTAGTTTAACATTTGAAATTTAAAAACGCAGGTCTTGCTGGTTGTTCCTTTCGTTGTCATTACCAAAATCTACTTCGTTGATGTCTTTGTTATTTACACACGTCAATTTTGATTTTTCTGAATTAGCACTTATAAAATCTTCAGTTCTAATTTTAAAATCTTTTCAATTTTCCTCTAAATTTTAAAATTTAAAAATGTCAGGGTTACTCGCCCTATGTCTATAGTGCTGCAGCGGCTACTTCTTGTTTCTAGTACTGTGCCAGTGTTATTCTGTGTAGTCTCTGTGTGTTCGTGCAGCTACTTGTCTTTACTACGTTGGGTCAGTCACTTTGTGATGTCAGCAAATGCTACTTTGAATCTCCGGTAGTAGCTCCACAGATCAAGGAAACTTCTGAGCTTGTGTCTGTCTTTTGGCAGTGGCCAGTCCCATACAGCCTTTACCTTCTGTAGGTCCATAGTGTCTCCTTCCAACAATAGAATATGTCCCAAGCATCTGATAGGACTAGTGATCTAAAATATTCCTCAGGTAATACCTGTTCATAGGTGGTGCCATCCAACACAGTTTTATTCAAATCATGAGATTTGCTAAATTGTCTGAAGCTGATGTGAGCAGCGTTAGCTGACATACTGACTTCAGTCATTTTGGTGGTGAATGTTTTAAGATAACTACTGGGTTGAGGTGAATGGTTAATTTCATGCTTCCGCCACTTCACTCCCAATACCTAATGGATAAAGTATGGGTGTTCAGTGTAGCAAGTCCAGGTGCAGAGACAGCAAGAAAGTTTCTTCATATGCAACTGCATCAGTGGTCTTTTTATCTGAGAGACATATGTAATAGGGATTATATTTGGAGAAGTATGAGTCAGAATTAAATTTGCTCTCAACTTTTTATACAAATATGCTCTCCACCAGTCACCGTCACCACCATCAAAATATGTCGAGTGATGTTAGATATAAAACATGTGGATGAACAAATGGATGGATGGATTGATCGATAGATGGTCCTGCCACAACCTCCCCATTCTGTGTTCATTTTGTGTATTTTATTCAAAACACAAATAAAAGCTAAATCTGTTGATTGTAATAAATTCATCAAGAACTTTATTACCCTTATAGATCAGATGATATGGCCATAGAATTTGTTCAGAAAATTACAATGAACATGGCTCATTGGATTGTTTGGTTTGTATTACTTTTCTCCTTGATAAATGTTTTCTTTATTTTCAGGCAGCTATTGATTCAGCGGTGGCAATGAAAGATTTGTCTGTTATTGTGGATATACTGGGTGTGATGATGCTCCGACAGTAAGTGTCTCATTTTTTCATCCTTGCACTTTCCCATACAAGCATATCCCAGTTTACAGTTTTTCAGTTTTCACATTTTGTATTTATATGATTTTAATCTTATTATCTTTTCATATTTATGCATGATGTATCATCATGACTATTCCACACCCGTCACCACATTCTGACTTGTTTCAGAGATCTAGTTAAACTTTAAGATCATACTATGTCTTCATAATGTTCCTGACCATGCTCAAATATGCATTATTGCTCTGAGAAAAATTAAACTTGTGTTTCTTTTTCCCAACTTGACATTTTCCCAGTCCATGGACCAGGGAGACATTGTCACCTTTCAGTAAATGAATGTTTCCAAGGTTAATGAGAGAAGTGTAGCATAAAATTAAGCCAGCAATTAAGGAGTTACTTTTTAATGTTGTTACAATGTTACTTCACATTTAAATAACAAGAAGAATCGGCCATTGAGTTTGCCATTCAAAAAAGTCTGTCAGGCATGTAACCTTCATTTTAACCCGAAGTCTCTGTAGCAGTATTTTTTACTTATATGCATTTACTTTATGCAATTAATGTGGCCACCCATAAATAGAGTTGTACATGTGTTCCTCAAGTTTGTTACATGTACTATAAAATGGATACTTTCTCTCCTGTTGAGATATTTTGCAAAGCTAATTATGGTCAGTGTGATTGAAAGTAATAAATATTATCAACATTTGGTGAGATGAGACAGGATAGTTCAATCAGTGAAGTGACTGGCAGAGATTATTGGGGTTTGAATCCTGGCTGAGAAAGCGATTTTTATTTTCATTGCCTGTCCAGACCAGTTCTGGGGCCTACTTAGCATCCTGTCCAGGAGATCCTATAGGATAGAATTATTTGAGCCTCAACCTTAATTCTCAACTTTGTGTAATGCTAAGGTTAAAAGTGTGCAACATAGCTAGTCCAGTAGTACACCGCTGTTCAAAAAGTATCCAACTTTATTTTTTGCCTCTATAAGTAATGGCCAAAGGGGTGGGGAAACTGAGCATAGTAGTAGAAAGGACTTTCATGCGCATGCGTGATATTTTGCTGACTTGCAACACAGCCGGATGCGTCTGTGGCTGCCAGATAGTGAAGTGGTGTAACATATGTTTGTCGCATTCTCGTTTCGCTCAAGATGACAGACACTTGGAGCAGTGATAGTGCATTATGTTTTGTCAGAAACTGGGGATACCCAAGCAGAAATATTCTGCAAAATTCAGCAGGCTTTCGGCGATGATGCAATGGGGGTCACTCAAATTAAAGAGTGGTTCAACCGCTTTAAAGATGGCTGTATGTCAGCGGACAGTGACCAGCATTCCAGTAAACCGTCAACAAGCCAAAATACTGATGTCATAGAAAAAGTGCAGACACTGATCGTGGAGGACTGTTGTTTAACCATCCGCGAAGTTGCTGATGAGGTTCAGATCAGCAGAGGTTCTGCAAACACAATTTTAACTGAGGATTTGGGCATGCAAAGAGTGGCGGCAAAATTTGTGCCCAAGTTACTTTTGCCAGAGCAGCAACAACTCCACCTTGAGGTCACGCAGGACATGCTGGAGTGCGCCAACAGGGATCCTGAGTTTCTGAAGACTGTAATCACTGTTGAGGAGTCATGGGTATACGGATATGACCCGGAAACCAAGGTCCAGACGTCACAATGGAAGCATCGAATATCCCCGAGGCCCAAAAAAGCACAACAGGTTCGGAGCAGTGTGAAGGTGATACTGACTGTTTTTTCGATTAACTGGGTGTTGTGTATCATGAGTACGCACCACTAGACCAAACTGTCAGTAAGGAATACTACCAAGAAGTCCTCTGCCATCTTCATGATGCAGTTCAGCTCAAGAGACCAGAGCTGTGGGACGCACACAACTGGCATCTGCATCGTGACAGTGCTCCAGCTCATTCATCACACCTGATCCATGGTTTCCTGGGTAAGCATGGCATTCTGCAGGTTCGCCAGGCTCCCTACTCTCCTGACATGGCTCCTTGTGATTTCTGGCTGTTCCTGAGACTGAAGACACCACTAAAAGGCTCCCGTTTTGACAACCGTGAGGACATCATACAGAATGTGACGGGGCAGCTGCAGAAGCCTTCCAGAATTGCTTCCAGCGATGGCAGGACCGCTGGGCTAAGTGTGTGGAGTCACAAGGGGCCTACTATGAAGGGGATTAGGTATTGTAACCACCAAGATACAGAACTTTGTTTTTCTGGTCCAAGGCCAGATACTTCTTGGACAAAGTAGTATTGTTGCTAACTTTCAGGCCTTTGAATATGCTTTGTATGCCAGGAGTTTCTCNTAATGGGTCTAAAGTATTTCTGTATATATATAAAATTATCTTTACGCTGGCTGCATGCAGTTCCACGGGTGTCTGTCTACTTGACACAATATTACTATTACACACACGTTTCCCAGCTGTTCCAGCTGAGGACTGTAGTTGTAACATGCTGGCTGGGCAGCTGTTGCACATTTCAGAAACAGTGATGGAATGGTGATTGGCAAGACAAAACTGAGGTTCTCAGTTAGAACTTAGCCACTTGTATATACAGATTGCCGTGGGGCTGAAAGCAAGTCTCCACAGTGAGAAGGCAGCATGCAATCATCTAAGCTGACACAGCCTGTTGAAGTATGACATGAATGCATGACTTCAGTGCAAGTGAGACATCCTTCTTTGTTATATTTTCAGGTCTGTTTGGAACCTTGACTTGTGTGTTGCGTTTCTCCCAGCGATCTATGACCTTATCCAGAGTAAATATGAAATGTAAGTATTCAGTTTCTTTTACTCTGTTTCGAATAGACTGTCTGTAATTTTTTAACCACTGGTGGCAGTAAAGAGAATTTTATAACTTCTCTCTTACGTGCAGACATTGGTCTACCCTGGCATTATTGATCAGTAGTTAATCTTCAATAAATTACAGTAATATTTAATTTCATATTAATAAAAAAATCTGTGGGGTTTTAGTCCATAAGCGAACTATACTGACTGAGGAACCGCCCCATATTGGCGAAGTTAGTGCCAACTTTAGTGGATAGAGGGTGTTGCATGAGCAGCGCAACGAATCTCCACAGCTGTTAGTTTCGGTTTTCTTGACTGGGGCCACTACTTTTCCATTCATGTAGCTCCTCAGTTATCCTCACAAGGCTGAGTGGATCCTGTTCCAGACCCACCACTTCTCAGAAAATCTGGTAGCACTGGGAGTCGAACTCGGGAACTCTGGCCACTAAATCACAGAGGCAGTCAGTTCCTTATTAATACTGCATTTAATAATCCAGAATGATGGAGTTAAATTTAGTCTTTAACATCTGAGAATATGGGTACTGCCAGTATATGCAGGAGTGGGGATCATGTTTTAAATTTATAGTAAGTGTCTGTTGTTGGGGAGTAGGGAATTTTAAATCTTCCTCTTCTACAGGCCTGGTAGCTATATTTTAACTGGGGAGGTGTTAAAGAATTATCCATTTAAAACTGCACTACTTGGCCACCTGGAGCACACAATATGCCAACAAATAAATGTTATGCATTGTTGCTAAATGTTAGTCCAGATTCTGAAATCCTGGAAATTCATTGTTGATATATCTTTAATTTAGAAGTTATTTTCAGGGTTCATTAACCGTGTTAAAGATGTTCAACATGTTGATTGACATGTGACAGTATTTATCTTCTATCCCTAATGTGAGAACTGCAGTCTCCTTAGGGAGTTGTTGGATTGATGAGTTGTTTTAAAGACAAATTGATGACGTTGGTTTAGCAACTGTCAGCATCTTAAATAAATCAAACCAAAACTTAAGCAGATTTAATCTAAATTTTGGTAGAGACAGTCTCTCCACACTAGAAATGATGTTTATTAACAAAGTGTCCGTAAGAATTCAGCAGGACAGAGAAGTAAGAGGCATCATAGGCTGAATTTGCTGGCTCAGGATATGATCCAGAACTAAGCTGTTTTAAGAGCAGCCTCCGTAGTCTAGGGGTAATGTTCCCACCTCATGACTCAAGGTACGCGGGTTCAAACCCGGCGGAGGTCGTGGAATTTTTAAGGGCGGAAAAGTCCTCAGGGAGGGACTTTAAGCCATGGGTCCCGTGTCGTAGATTTACGGCACGTAAAAGATCCTCATGTCTCTAGGAGACCTCAGCAAAATTAGGCAAAATATTTCCTGCCCATGTAGTTTCCAATGCTTCCGGTAGATGGGGAAGTTATCGGGTACCAATGCCAGTAGAGGGCCGACCTCACTGGCGGAAAGGGGAGATAGTGGGCACCAGTATTGGTAGGGTATGGAGACAGTAGAAATTAAAGGGGGACATACAATAGACTATTAGTCGTGGTGCATGGGGAAACCCACCCCCTCTATACTGAATAACTGAAGCTGTTTTAAAAGAAGTGCTGACCTTAAGATTCCATTAAAGTAAGTGATTTCTTAACTGGATAATTCACTTTCAACTTTTCAATGAAGGCCTTGTTCTGTAGTCTTAATCAGGAAACATAGTGTGTCTGGTGTGTGATTGTTATCTTGATAGCAGATATCTGAATTCATGGCTGTTCCTAGGAGTGGTGCAGGACCCAGAAGAAATCAGCATATGTAGGGATACAAATATTACATTTCTGGACATTATCCATCATCCTGTTTTTATTTAAATCACAATTTTGCAAAGACTGGATTCTGTCTCCATCTTCGGGTAAAACCTACTCAGTTAGGCCCAGTCAGTAGAGCTAGTCCCTATCTCTGAACACCTGCACCAACACAAGATAGTGTATACAAACCAAGCACAGCACAATTGGCATGCGAGAGTTAAGACAAAACATTAAAAACATTAAAAAAACTCCACACATATGAGGCCTAGCACCAAAATATTATCAGAATAGAAGTCGTCACTAGAGAGATAAATTCTCTGTATGGTAGCAATGTGAAAGCCACAAATTCTCCCACTTAATCTACAATGGATGGAATTGTGCGTCTTTGATGTCAGCTGTGGTAATGGGAGATATCCAAGCTGGATTGACTGAAGTGGTGTGCCGTGCATGGAAGCAAGGGAAGCATTGCTTCCGCAGTTAAACAAAATGAAAAGAAGTCATATATAAATAATTCAGTTTGAATAATAAGGATGTGATTATTGTCATTTAGCGCATGTTCCTGCTCAAGGCCACATGCCTCCTCCTCCTCCTCCTCCATTCCTCTGCTTGGTGGGACAGACCAAGGTTCCTTTCGTTAATCTTCGTAATAATTCGTCTAATCCAAAGGGGCCAAGGGAAGCAAATTTCGGTTTGCTGGCTAGGCCAACGAAGGAATGTGTTCTTTCGATGGTTATGTGAAAATTAACTGTGTATGTGTGATTTCAGTCTTGATGAGTGTTATAGGTAACATTAAGTGTTATTAAAATATTAAGTGTATTATTTAGATGGCGTAAGATTGTATTTGTGGTTGTATTTTGATGCATCAGAAAGAAGCTATCTGTGTTTAAGGGAAGCAAGTGTCATAGTGTGGTACAATGGCAGGGGCGTGATTAGACTACATGCACAGGGTACAGCTAAAATGAATGCTGGCAGACAACGCGACTGCGACTGTGCAATCAAAAGCCTTTTAAAACGGAAGTTTAATAGCAGGGAGTTTTCTGAAAAGAAAATAATTATAGAAAGAGGACAACCGACGTGCGCGTTGCCAGAACTTAAAGCACAAACCAAATTATGTGTGAGTAAATTTAATTTGGAACAGTATTTTAAAACAGAGTGGCTATCCAGTTGCGGTAATATAGGAAAATTGTTTTGTTGGCCATGCCTATTGTTTATCATTGAAAAATTTTATGGAACAAGACTGGGTTTGGTGATATCAACAATCTTCATAAAGCACTGAAATGACATGAGAACTCTCAGACTCATGTTATTTCAACAATGCAACCTATGTTGGGGAAATCTCATATTGACTGTCAACTTGACAATCAAAAGCACCTGACGATATTACAGCATAATGAAAATGTGAAAGAAAATAGAGAAATAATGAAACGCTTGGTTGATATCATGTGCCATTGGCCCTGACATTGAAACGGTTTCCAATATGTCTGAATTTCTCAAAGGTACCCTTAACGTACGGAATAGTGACAGTGTCCTAGTATATTGTATCCAAAGGAAAGTTGCTTCCCAGTGGCTTCATTACAGAGTCAACAGATTGTGATTATTCACTAAGCAACAGATCATGTCCTTTGTTCTTAATTTCACTGTTGAAACCCTTCTGGTCTTGATATATGACCTTAGCTTGACTGATCGAACTATGACCGACTTCCCTTTTTATGTGATATGGGTGGCTGGACTTGAAGTGTGCATAACAACCAGGATGACTTGGTTTCTGGTACACTTTCATGGGAGGCCATAGATGCAAAACTGATGACAATATAGAAACATCAGTGCAGCACTGTTTGAAAGAACAGGACTTCTATAGACAGGGAATACAAGGGCTCATATGTTGGTAAGAGATGTGCCTTAGACTCAACAGGGACTATGTAGGAAATTATTTTGTGAGTTGTAAAGTGGCATATTATCCATGTTGAAGATTTAGAGCATCAGTTTAGAATGTACAGCTTGTAAATTTATACTCTCTGATCAGAAACTTACATACCAATGCAATTTAAATAATTCATTGGCATAGGACAGCAGTTGGTGGTTGCTTGCTGTAAGTGGGGTTCAGAATTTCAGAACTCCTTTGTTGCAGCCCTTTTGTATTTAAATCTTTATGTTGTTAGATAGCAGACTAGAAGATGAAACATTCATCAAATTTAGTCTGTGTCTGATTTCAACTCTCTAATGTCACCTCTTTATTTATTAGGCAGAAAGAAAAACATTTGTTTCAATAAAATAAAACTGCTAGCTCATTACTTTTAAGTAAAGATCTGTGCCTTTGCAGCAGTGTATGCAAACTGTTGCCTTTTAACCAAGACTAACATAAAGCTGTTGAAATTTAACTGGTGCTGCTATATACAGGAAATATTTTTAGTGAAGGTTGACTATAAGAAACAGACTCAGTCAAGAATACCTAGTCTCACTTTTTCTTTACTTGGAAAGAGAGCATTACAGTGGCCATTATTTGTCTAGTTCACCACTAGGCAACAGTGGTGCGTTTCATTCAGTCACAACTTGACTAACTTTAACACTCAGTGATTGAGTGATCTAGCCTACAGATACTTTACAAACTACAGTAACAGCAAGTATATTGACAGTACCACCATACACTCCATTTCCCTCCCACGTACATATTTCAATATTCCGTTGTATTAATAGAGAACCCCGCATTGTTCTCGGTGATCTCAAATACAACAAATGGGCAGACTTTTCAAAATGGACTAGCTGCAGTTTCCACAGATAAACCCTCTTTTATATACAGTAAATCTTGATTTCCTGGTTATTCATTCATTCATCAGTAATCTGTCAAGATGACAGGTCCACAGTCTCTTCCAAAACAGTTCCTCCACTTGATGCGATCTAGAGCTTTCTCCTTCAAATGACAGTATCCTCTTCTGTCCCCAAGGTCATCCAGCATCTTCTTATGTCTTCTGGTCACGTCTATCCACCCCTCTATTTTTCCTTCAGTAACTTCTTTTAGAAGGCAGTTTCTGCGTAAAACATGGCCAGTCCAATTAGCCTTCTGTTTTCTTATTTCGTGTAGGCTATTCCTCTGCTCACTGACTCTAATTAACACTTCTTCATTTCTCACATAATCGGTCCAACTGATCTTCTCCATCCTTCTCCAACACCACATTTTGAAGCTTTCCAGGTGTTT